AAAGCCTATGGTGATAACAAAGTGTTAAGCTCTTAGTTAAGCTGCTATACAAAGCATGGCAGAGGCCAAAGAGGCCAAAAAAGCGGTGTGAAACAAAAAAAGAGGCCAAAGTCTGTGCCTGGTTGGCTTGCTGCCAAAGCAGTCCAGGTGAAACAAGGCCCATCTGAGGATAAATGACAAATCTCAGACTAAAGGCGCTTACCTTGTATCTTTATTTGTGTAAATTCAAGGGCAATATAAACACTGGGAACAAGGAGGGATTTCGAGGTTGGATTTGTTTGATTCGCTGAGTCAGGAGGTCATGTATATTTAATGGTCCTATCACAAGAAGGAAAATGCATTATTTAATTATCCTACTGGGGCGTGGAATCTCCAAGTACAATCGAAGGTCACTGCTGGGCTAAGATCCTTAGCAGGGTGGGGTATTCTAGGAGTTCCTAGATGCTTACTAGAGCAGTTTCCCTATCGGGGAAGGATCTGGCCTATAATCTGCCCTGATGGCTATGTGAAGCTCCTTAGCTCCTTACAAGTTCTGGGGTCACCCAGATCAGGGGAGACTTTTAGAATCCTGCTGAGAAAAGGGAGTCTGTCGTCATAGACAGAGTGCAAATAAGCTCTCCGAGATGACCAACTTCAGCCTTACTAGCAGAGCCCACACTTTCCCCATTGATCCACCTCCTGAACCATGGCCGAGCTCTTCTGTAGAATTTGACATTTCTGCGATAACTTGGTCTCGGAATTTTTCTTCCTGTCATGGCATTCTTAAAGGTGCTTTTTTTCTTTTTTCTTTGTTTGTTCAAATCAGGGTTTCTCTGCATAGCCTTAGATGTCTTGGAACTCACCTTCCTCTGCCTCCCAAGTCCTGGGATTAAAGGCGTGTGCCACCACCCAGCAAAAGTATTTTCTTGAAGGGCTCTTTATTTTTGTTCATGCTGGTTTATATTTTAAGTTGCAGATTTGTATTTTAAATTTTCTTTGTTTTCACACTGCTTCTTTCTTTCCTTCTTTCTTTCCTTCCTTCCTTCCTTCCTTGCTTCTTTCTTTCCTTCTTTCCTTCTTTCCTTCCTTCCTTCCTTCCTTCCTTGCTTTTTTCTTTCCTTCTTTCCTTCCTTCATTCCTTCCTTCTTCCTTTCCCTTCCTTCCTTCCTTCCTTCCTTCCTTTTTCCCTCTCTCCCTCCCTCCCCCCCCCTTTTTTTGAGATAGTTTCACCATTTAGCACAAACTGGCCTTGAATTCATACCATGGAAGCTGGCTTTAAGCCTTTATGCCTCTGCCCTCTCAGTCCTCAGTCCATTTATAGAATTTTGAAAAGTTCTGTCTTTCCTATACAGATTGTAAGGTAGTGTGTCATTTCGGAATCTTTGTTTTCTAGGTGGTTTTGATGAGTTGAGTAGCCACAGTTGGAAAACACTGACCTGTACATATAGTTGAGATTCTTCTCTGTGGAGCACAAGACTTCGTGTAGTGCCTCAGTGCTTCTCCAGCACTGTCTGCGTCTGCTCTACCCTGCTCTGTGTTGAGCAAGTGTCTCCTCTTTTGGAACAGAAGTATACATTTTAAAATCAAGAGATACCTCCAGATTCTTCCTGCTTTTCTCAGTCCCTCTATCCCAGCAAGCACTTCCTTGGGTTTTACATGTTAAACTTGGGTTGAAAAGCACTGAAGATCATGTAATTTGCTGCAATAATGTAAATAGTGTATGTCAGAATGTGTGTGAAAGTCAGTGTTTGTATGTCTAACATAGTTCTTATGGTATTTTCTCAGCGTAATATTAAGTGACTTTAAAAATATTCTCCTAGAACCCCTGTACAGATGTAGCCCATGGGAGCTCAGTCTCCAAGTGGGTGCCTTAGTAAGGGGAACAGGGACTGTCTCTGACATGAAATCAGTGGCTGGCTCTCTGATCACCCCCCCCTGAGGGGGAGCAGCCTTGCCAGGCCACAGAGGAGGACAATGTAGACAGTCCTGATGAGACCTGATAGTCTAGGGTCAGATGGAAGGGGAGGAGGACCTCCCCTATCAGTGGACTGGGGGAGAGGCATAGAAGAAGAGGGAGGGAGGGTGGGATTGGGAGGGAACGAGGGAGGGAGCTATAGCTGGGCTACAAAGTGAATAAACCATAATAAATAAGTAAATTAATTAATTAATTAATTAATTTAGAGAGAAAAACAAAGGGTACTACAATGCTACAATAAAAGTACAAAATATTAAAGTGAAAAAAATAAAAATATTTTCCTTTCAAGATAGCTCACCTGTATTTATTCCCTTATTAATTTGTCTCTTTACTTACTCATTCAACATTTATTTGAGTATGCAAGAAACAGAGCAGGTCCTGCTCTGTTAAAACTAGATAATATAAATTTCCTCTTCCTTATGGTCTCAAAGACACATTTTATATAGTTTATATTAAATCATGAAACTATACAGAAACCCAGCTTTTAACTTTCATAAGAAGCCATAGTTCATCCTTTTCCGTTGTTTTCTTTTTCTTTTCATCTAGGGAAAGACCATGTTTGTAGATTTATTGGCTGTGGGAGAAATGATCGTTTCAACTACGTGGTCATGCAATTACAGGTATGTTCCCTTGAAAATGTGTCTTAAAATACCCTATTACAGTATGAATAAAAAAAAATGACAGCATTCTTATTATCATATCCAGATGCTGTACACTGTATGTATTGAAATTTATTTAGATTTGGTGTAGATTTTTCAAAAAATGAAATTGTTACATCATCTATTTTTGTTTACCTGTCCCTTTACTAGTTGCCATATTTTCCATAGCATTTAATCTCAAAGTGGATTGTGGTTTATAATGTGAGCCTGCCTTCCGGGTTCTTTTCCTTTTTCCTGTCTCAGGCATTTCAGAGCTTCACTCACACTCTCAAGTACCAGCCACTATGTTAAAATCTAAGCATTAGTTGAAGTGGAGAATGGATGCTATTTCTCTTTCTGTCAAGATAACATTTGTTCCTTCCCCTTTGGACAGGAGAGGGGTTGGATTAAGAGAGTAGGAGTTGATAAAGAAAATACGGGTGTAAGAGATACAGTAGGGAGAATCAGGAAGACATTCCGTTTTCCTCGATAGTGCCTGTGCTCCTGAACACGCACAGTACAATCACCTCCATGTTTAAAACCATGGTCACCACACTGTCTGCATCTTCAATTCTCATAATTTGGACATTTGGATCCATTATTTTCTTTCACATTATTTACATGACAGGGAGTTAAATTTGTAAACCCTGGCCTAAGTGTTTCCTCTTCTCTTCAGAAGGCTTTTTGTTTGCTTGTTTGTTTCTCAAGTATTTTTCAATATTTGAGTTAGACCTAAAGATGTTACTTACCCTTTCTGTAAACTATATTTGCTATTTATCCTTTTAAAACATGGTCTCACTGAGTAGCACAAGAATATTTTGAACTCACTATATAGGTAAGATTGGCCTTAAATTCAGGACCTTCCATCCTTGGCCTAATGATTTCTAAGATTACAGTTGTGTGTTGCCTTGGTCCTTTTTAAAATCAATTAATTGGGGGTTGGAGGAATGTGCCATGGTGTGTGTGTGTGGAGGCCAGAAGACAACTTGTGGGAGTTGAGTCTCTTCTTCCATCATGTAGTTTTCAGGGATTAAATTTCGGTGTCGGACTAGGCAGCAAGGGCCTCTGCCTGCTGAGCCATCTCACTGGCACACTCACATGCAATTATGGAATCTATGGAATCTTCCATTGTTAGAATATACACAGTCTTGCACTTACCTGAATATCAGTTTTCTGAAAATGCTGGGGAACTGTGAGGTTGGTATATACTAGGTAGCCAGTGACTAGGGCAAGCTTCTGTTGACTGGTCCAAGAGCCTTTCTATTTGACCTGCGTGCTGTAATTTTGTTGTTGTTGCAGGATATTTGATCACATTGTGAAACCTGAGATTGTGAGTTGGAAAATCCTGTTTCTTGTTGTGTTTCTTGCTGTGGCTCAGCCCTAGCACACACCTTTAACCCAAGAGATTTCTGTAAACAAGAGCTAAATAAAGTCAACCGTAGGTCAAGATGTAGAGCTAGCAACCAGTTGACAGAGAGTGAATATAAGAGAACACAGAAAGGAGGGACATTAAGTTGAAGGGTATTTAAGACAGCGTGGAGAAAGAGAAGGGGCTTTTCCTTCTAGGATATCAGCTCAGTAGGAAGGTCAGCAAGCTGCTTTGCTTTGCCTCTCAGAGCTAGCAGGCTCTTGTCCCAGTATCTGGCTCCTGAGTTTTTATTGGTAAAATCAAATATCTGGAATCTTGTTTAAAAACAACACTCTTTCCTGTCATAAAGTTAACCCACCATTAAACCCGACCCCACACTTATGGTTGACTTAATTTGGGATGAGACTAAAGCTCATATAACTGCTAGAGTATATCTTACCTGCCATGTGAAAGGTAAAAGCTCCTAGGTGTCTTCAGTATATCAGATAAAGTTTAAGTTCTCAGACCTACCTCCCCACTCTATTCCTAATTTCTTCTAAGAATCTTAAGTGTTTTATTCTTAAATTAGCTTCATTGTCTTCCCTTTGTTGAATCAATTACATAGTATTAGCCTTAATTTTGAAGGAATAACTAATTCCAATTTAGAGATTTTAAGCTATTTACGATAAAAGTAAGTCTTAAAATCTTACAAGTTTGAGGTGCACACATTTTTTTTCCTCAGCTCTGTTAGTAGACCATGACCAGACCTCATATTGTTACCAGTGAGACTTAACATGGCATCTTTGTAACAGTTTAATATGTCCTAGGGGGAGGCAGAAAAATATGTCATAGATCTAGATTGCCTAACATAAGAGCTGTTGGTTTTTTACCTTTTGTGTGGAAAATATTAAACACACATATTAGAATAATAATATAAACATACATTTAATTGTCACTCCATTTCAGTAACCAAATGTGACCAATATCCTTCAGGTGTTTTCTCTTTTCCTTCCCAGATTAATTTAAAGCAAATTCAAGGCATCTTTTATCTGGAAACGTC